AACACGCGAAAGACCGTGAAAATGATTTCACCACCATATTGAATTGACATAAAGAGATAGATACGTAACGATTAGACAAGTCGAACAAGCAACTCGCATCGCGAGAAACAAATATAAGTATTTTCCAGACGAAAATAATTATATGTTTTGAAAGCAACATGATAAGAATTCTAAATTAAATGTATTTATTAATAATTCTATGCTCCAAATATCGTATCTATTTTTTATAAATAATATCTAGATTTTGACATGATGCTTATAAACGTTCGATTGACTAATTAAGGCAAATTTTAATCAATCAAACGCTTTCGAGCACTTGTAGAGTTAAATGGAACGTAACTTAATTAGTGATTTATAATTTCCACTGAGAAATTAAGGTGACACCTATTCCCATAACTTTGGCGCCATAATGTAAAAGTAAATTCTGATAGTATTTTTAGCGGAGAATATTGGAAAAATATTTAAAAAATTCTATGACCAATAATAGGAATCAATTGGTATAAAGAAAATACATAATTGTTTTTAAGAAAAATGATGTAATTTGCAATTAACAATTACATATTTTTTCTTAAAAACAACTATGTATTTTCTTTACATCAATTGATTCCTCTTATTATTTTACACATAAGAGTATTAAGATAAAATAATCGAAAAAAAGATATTTTACTAGATATTTTATGATTTATGTAAAATTAAGAAATTATTTCAAGTCTCATAACTCGAAGACTACTCAATGAAAAATAATTTAATTATAGTGTTTTGGAAAGCCCTCGAGATAAGCTATAAAAATATTGAATAAAAATTGGAGGATCCCATTTAAAATTTTAAAATTGACCTTGAGAACTCCTCCATGGTTACGCAGGTCAAATAAGTTTTGCTGTTTAATGCATTTGTTGAAACTTAACAACTTTTGTATAAAATATGTTTTTCTAAAATGTCTCATTTTTAAGATATTTTACCGGTCCGGCATTTTTTGCGCACTCTGTATATAAATATATAATACATAAATTGTATAATGAATACATAATATATAATGAGTAATAAAAATAAGGAGCAAAGTAAGATTAATTATTTGATAACCAATCGATGTATCATACATCACTCATTGTGATGATATAGCGTATCTAATTGAGCTTTTATCGTTCATGTAGACAGGAAGTGAAAACGCGCGCAGTGCAGCAAAGAGCGACACAATAGCCAATTAACCGCTTTTAAAAAGCAAAAGGTTGATTAGTTACCGCGAAGCTTTTCATCACGCGACAAGCGTTTCCTGTCTTTATGAATCATTAGAGCATCGTTCGAAATAGTGCAATTAATCGTTACGAAACAATCGTACAAAATATTTACACGTAAGATATTTCAATGCTCAACGCGTTATTATACAGGGTGTCCCAGACTTAACGAAATCAGCCGTTAATGATAGATTCCTGAGATCATTTGGAGATGAAAATTCTGATACCAAAATGTTGAGAAAGACTTCATAAAAATGTCCAAACTACTGACTACTGTTGCATGGAAAACACAATCGCGCTCATTACAGAATTCTATTTTTTATTTTATATTCATCCCTCTATCGATATCGATATTATATCGCGCTGTACGCGCTGTACGCTCCCCTTGATGAGCTATATTCCTGAGCATAAGAGAAACGCGCCGATTGGTAACCTTTAATCTTTTATAGCGCTGAAACTACATCTTTCTTAACATTTTGATATTAAGATTTTCGTTTCCAAATGATCTCAGAAATCTACCATTAACGGCTGATTTATGAAGTCTGGGACACCCTGTATATATTCGCACGTGTGATCGATACTTCGTGACAGTTTCTCGCTTGAATTCTCGTAGTATCACTTTGCTATCGCAAGCAATGAATCAAGTTCTATGGAGTTTCGTATATCGAACATTTTGTCCGATCGAAATTTATGTGCAAACGAATGTCAGGTGTGTCGAATCGATTATTCTAATGCGTTAAATTAGCGTTAAATTAAATGCGTGCGTGCGCGATTATGTTTAATATTCGCTGTTGCTAATCGGCTATTCACACAAGACCGGGATCTGCGTTCTATTTATCGTGCTATCATTTTGTTACATGCTGTCGAAACGCGTCACAAATATCGAATGAAGATATTTAATTTTATATAATTAATAATTAGTTATAGTGATTAGTTAGTAATTAACAATATTTATTTTGCGGTTATATAATTAATCATTATAAGAAATTATGCAAGATAATTGCGCTTATCATCATATGGCTCAACGCATCTTTATACATGACATATGCATGATTGACGCATCATGACAGTTTCTCGCTTGACTCGCGTCATTTTCGGCGACCAGTGTTTGCTGTAAATAATTTCAAAATTATTTAGATAAAGATAACGATAAAAATCCGTAAATTTATCTTAGATGAGATAAAAAACGATTTTGCTTTTACTTAATCTAAATGAAAGATGAGATGATTATTGCGATAATCTAAATAATTATCTAGATATTTTTGTTTATTTATAAGACTATAAATATTTGTAAAAAATGTGACGCAGATTATAAATGGGATATTAAAATCATAAACACATATTTTTTCTCTTTTCCTAAAGAATATTTAAATAATAACAAAAAAGTATATAAATGATATGATAAATATTTATTTATTAATTTATATTTATAATATATTTATAATATAATAATCAATGTGTAACAATACATTATTGTGTAACAATATATTATTTTTATAAAATATACATTAATGCATTGCACAAATTTAAGTAAAACAAGTACAAGATAAAGTAATAATTTAATATTATTTTCCAAATAAAAAATATATTTTAGATAGATTTTTAGAAGTTTGCCTGGAAAACTCTTTTGCATAATGAAAACGCCATCTTAGACAATTTTTAAATAAGATGACATATATTTTTTATCTAAGATAAAGATAAAGATACTTTGTATTTCTTCATCTAGTTAAAGATAAAGATGATCCATTTCTTTATCTAGATAATTATCTAGATAATTTTATCTAGATACCAGCAAACACTGTCGGCGACGAGTCAATTCTGTGGAGTTTCGTATATTTTAAACACTCTATTCGACCGAAGGCTAAACTTACGTGCGAACGAGTACCGGGAATACCAAATCAATTACTTCAAATGCATTAAATTAGATCGTGTATGTGCGATTATGTTTAATATTCACATGTTACTAATCGACGCTATTCATACAAATCCGGGGTTTGTGTTCAATTTATCGAGCTCTCATTTCGTTTACATGCTTGTCGAGAGTATCAAATGAAGATATTTGATAGCGATTAGTTAGTAATTAACGGCATTTATTTCGCGATTATAATTAATTATAAGGCGATTGTGCAAGATATATTTTCCATTCAACATCACGAGTTCCAACGCGTCATTTTATACGTATAATATATATACAGGGTGTCCTAAAAGTCCCGGAACGGATCGTCGAATAAACTATGTACTTTAGAAAGAAATGTTTCAAACAAAAGTTGTATGGTTTGAAGGGGGCGATCAGACGGTGACAATGATTTGACCTTGGAGAGTTATTTGAAGATCACGTGAAGGTCACCGTCAATTTCTTAAATGGAATCCTCTATTTTTTATTGCATATTCGTTTAGCTTATCTCGAGAGCTTTCCAAAACTATAATAAAGTATTTCTTCATTGAGTACTTTTCGAATTATGAGGCTTGAAATAATTTCATAATTTTACATAAACCATAAAATATCTAGTAAAATATTCATTTTTCAATTATCTCACCTCAATACTTTTATGTACAAAATAATAAGAGAAATCAATTGGTGTAAAGAAAAAACAGTTATTTTTAAGAAAAAAAAATATGTAATTTGCAATTAACAAATACATATTTTTTTTTAAAAACAACTATGCGTTTTCTTTATACCAATTGATCCCTCTCATTATTTTGTACATAAAAGGATTAAGGTAAGATAATCGAAAAATGAATATTTTATAAGATATTTTACGGTTTATGTAAAATTAAGAAATGATTTTAAGCCTCATAACTCGGAAAATATTTAATAAAAACTAATTTAATTGTAGTGTTTTGGAAAGCTCTCGACGTGAGCTATCAGAATATTCAATAAACCATAGATGGTTCCATTTAAAAAATTGAAAGTGACCTTTACGTGACCTTTAAATGACTTTTCGAGGTCAAAACAATGACATTTTATGGTCCCTTTCAAGCCATATAACTTTTGTCTGAAACATTTCTTTCTAAAGTGCATAGTTTATGAAATATTCGACTATTCCGGGACATTTGGGACATTCTGTACATAATCGACGCGTGTCAAATGAGAGCTTCTCGCTTGAGTCGCGTAGTATCATCTTGTCGCGTGCACCTACATTCGGAGTGCAATATTGTCGAGTGACGCATTGATCTGAAATTGATGTAATTTGAATCTTCCGTTTTATTTGAAATATGTCGCGTAATGAAATCTGGCAGTGTTGAATGTGGAAACAGAGACGATTGTGGCGTTTCGCGTTGTTTGTGCGTTTCAAAGTGAGTCGTGCGGATAATAATGAAGAGTGTGGAGTGATTGCCGTACCGTAACAGTAATTAACGCCTGTGATCATAATTAGCTGCGATTTTTCTCGAGTGACTCGTTCGAACAGAGCAATTGCGGTGACTGCATACATTGATTGGTAAATATTTATATCTATTGAACGTATTTTCTCAACGTTCATTTCTTTGTCGACAATTGAGCATCGCCTTATGATGATCATGTTTTCACAGATTAATATCATTGATTTTTCAATGTTTATTAATTCTAATATCCATCTAATAATTAATAATTAATTTTACTATCTGTAAATATTGACAGTATGTTGTAATTTTAATTATTACTAATTATTACTCTATTTTTAAATGTTAGAAAAAATTAATATTATAAAAATTTTTTAACTTCATATGTTTATTTAGTAAAAATATATTTAAAAATAATTTTGAATATTATTTTAATTTTATTTACAGATTAGTTTCGTGTTTCCAAACGCAGTTATATTAAACGTATCATCATTATGGTGAGTAATAAATTAATATAGAAATTGTGTAATTAAAATCAAAATATTAAAGTTTTATTTATTAAATTTAAACTAGTTATCATGTACTGTTGAAAAACCATAATATATTGAAAATATCTATTTAATATATTGAAAATATCTATTTAAATATATTTAACATTAATATACATATGTAGGTTTAAGATGATCGTTGCAGAAAATTTAAAAACTTTTTTGTAATTTTTTACTTACTAATTTTGAAATTTATTATAAAATGATCATTTAAACGTTATTAAAGTAAATAACAATAATTGTTAATTAAATTAATTTGTACAATCTAACTTGATTATGTACGATTATATATATATGTTACAAATATATACTCACATAATGGACAATAGTTAGTTATTAACTAGTTATTGTAAATGAAAAAAATGCAACAAATTTTTTACTTTTTCCTTACTTTTTCTATTCCAGCTTTGTGTGCATATATACAATTCGCTAACGATAGTTGATCCGAAACAATTATTTGAAAATACAAAAGAATGTGTAACGGTAACCACTTGTCTTTTTTATTTCGCTATCCTATTGTTGCAATATCGATTTATCTTGTCAATTGTATTTTGCTACGTTTGAACAGAATAGAGTATAAAAATACTTGGAAATAATACAAAAAATAATAATAGTTTATATAATAATATTTTATTATTTCTTATTAAGATTCACATAAAAACAATTATTAAATTCACCATAAAGAGTTGCACTATATATGTATAAAAAATATATTAATACATATATGTATATACATATATTCGTACAACAAAGATGATAAAAGTTTATAAGGAAGAAAAAGATGTAGGAATAAATATCAAAAATTAATTAAAGTTAAAATATTAGTCAAATATTAATAGCAAATATTAATTCTTTAGAAGAACATAATTATAGTGTCACTATGTAAAATATTTTCTATAGTCGGGGTGATTAATCCAAAATTTTTAAATTGAGATATTTTTATTTATAAAGTAAATTTTTATGATTTTTATAGATCTTGATTTTTACAATATTTAACAACATGTTACATACTATAATGTGATGTGAAAAATCGTAATATTTAAAACATTCTGTTAATTATTGAATATTCGCAAAATTATATATTACCATACATATTAACCAATAATTACTCAATAATTAATAAATATTTACTTCGCAATTCATTAAGTTGATCACATTCGTACGTTAGCAGTTAATTGCATAAGTTGTGCATGTTATTCAATATTTATATTTAAAAAGACAAATTCAATTTAAATGTAATTTTAATTGAAATCTGCAATTAATTAATATAGTATTTCTCGCACATCCCAAAGAAAGTTTGTGGATATTCTGCACATATGACATGTATACGCGTTTGCACATTGTATGCCTCATCAGCTTGATTGGCTCGTTCCAATACACACGAAACGAATGTCGTGCGTTTTGATCAGAGTTTGTAGGATTGTTCACCGCGGAATCCGCGATGTCGATACCCGCCATTTTCGTGTTATTCGATTTCCCACACGCGCTGTATTCGCATGTAGGCCACATGATGAGTACATTATGTTTGTGTATTTCGGACTCTCTTTACAGTCCCATCGGTTGTCTCATACAACCAACTATTCTCGTACAAGTTAATCAGAAATAGTCGACAATCGATACTAACGATAGAGAAGGAAAAAGGTTGGGCGAGGTCCGGATTACAATGTAATCCACTCCAAAGCTGATTATACAGTAATTGTATCGCCATCCGTTGCGAGTTAAATGCGAATGTGTAATTAATTCGCACTGCGTAATCACTTAAAATTTATAATTGTTAGTTGTAATGCATATCATCTATGCGTTATAGAGTGTAATGCATAATCAAATATGTCGCGTAATTAAAGCGATTATTAATATCGTTGTGGCCGCAAAAGGAAAAATAGCTATGTATTATTTATAATGCATTTAATATGTACAAAAGTTATCTCACTTAACCGAATAATTCACGCAGCTACGACGAATGATTTAATCCCGCTGGATAACGACTGTCTGCATACATACGACATATAAGAGCCTTAAGCCGAGATGAAACTTTTATATAATTTTATTAATTGCGGCGTAAATATGAACTGCGGTAAACATTAACATCGTTACTACGATTTAAAATTTCTTTCTCTGTAATGCATTTCACGTGTGAGTATTTTATCTAGCTCTCAGATAAATGTTAATGTCTTAAAATAATGGCATATTTTCCGCAATTCGGTTGATGTGCATCAGAATATGAGAGATGATGGAAATAAATTTTACTATAATAAAATTGAAAAAATACTTAAAAATCTAATATAAAATTTTCACTAAAATGCACTAAAAATTTATTGAAATATATTATTTTATTTAGAATTTAGAGTAAAAATATTTAATCGTTTATGTGTATTTATTTTTATGGTCGAAAGAAACGCGTAAATTGCACATTATTTAGAATTACATACATTTTAAAAAATTTTTATAATAATTTTTCCATAATTATATTAACTGCCAGTGTTCCCACAAACAAATAACAGTTATAGGGCAGACCGGGGACAAAAGTAACAGCATCATGAAAGTAACAAACCTCCTACTAAACTACACAATAGGTTGAATAATTTGTACTACATAGTCAAACACTCCAATTCTCTTCCTTTTCAGCTAATTGTTGTAGAATAATTGCGCTGGTTGCACATGCAGGAGTGAAATTAGTGTATTCGCATTATTCACCTAAGTATTTCTTGTTTTAGTTTTTTTATATCTATGCCTAATTAAAGTGTATATATTGACGTAATTATTTGTCGATGTATTCTTCTAAAATGTATTCATAAGTTTTTATAGTTGATTTGATTGGCTAAGTCTTGCATCATATTTAGGTTATAATTTCCAAACACCAGCCCTTATACTTTAAGCATTGAAACGTGTTACTTTCGTCCACAATGTCATGTTACTTTTGTTCCCAAACACATTTTTTATTTTAAAAATTTATTTTTTATTCTAAAAATTTTTTTTATTCGAAAGTATAAAGGCTGGTCCCATAATAATTGTACCAAAGGCGATTCTTATTATGTATGCCATAATTGTGATTCGGAATAGATACCAATCAATTTTGTATAAGTAGTTATCATACAATTTTTACACTATTATTTAGAATTAAACTATTATTTAGACTTAAAAAAGTACAAAACTAGTGTGTATATTAAGTATAATTATTTTATGATATTACTTATAATTATTTTGCTTAACGAAGATTATTTCTTTTAAGTTTTTCAAAGATGATAAAAATAAATATTTATTTTTTTTTTATTTCAATATAATATAATACAAATTTATAATAAAAGTTATCTTGCTTAATAAAAGATTGTAATAAAAGTTGCCTTAAATTGAAAAAAGGCATATTTATTTTATTTTCCCGAAAATAAGAACCGGTACTTTTATCTCCAGACTATATTACTTTCGTCCCAAGCCCCCAGGACAAAAGTAACAATCAACTTTGCGAAAAGCTGTAATAGCTCTTTAAATATTTATCATTTGAGATTGAAAATAGGCATAATAATAGAAACAATAAATGAAGTTTTTTAACATATAATCTTTTTTATTATATCTCTAACGATAATTAATTAGTGACCTATAATACAAAAAATGTTACTTTTGTCTCCGGTCTCCTTTATAATTGTTAGTTATAATTTCCCACTCAGCAATATAACTGTTACATATTATATTACAGTTATATTGTTGAGTGGAAAATTACAACTAACAATTATATAAATGTTACTTGGTGTTTGCTGGGTTATATTAGACAGATAAAACACAGAACGAGAAATTGAAGTACTTAACACAAGCTTGATATTAAGTCCATGCTTTCGAGCGGCTAAAGATAGAGAAATTAACGTTCGTCACATAGAAGTTTCTTTATCATCGAAGTTCGATTCTGGGATATTAACTGTAATCTATGGTTCCGCATGGTCCGCCAGTAAATCGCGCATTAGATTCGAGAGTCAGCCGAGCGATTTTCTAACTCTCCGTTCGGGAGCTCGCGAGCGTGATCGGAGTTAACTCTCGAACTCGGTGGACCGCGCGAAGCGATAAAACACCAGTAATATCCAAACTCGAGTATCTATCGATGTTCCTTATGCCGATCGAATACGCGTGGTCGCGCGATGCATAATATTCCGTGACAAATGGCGAATACATGGCAATGCGTAGACATATACGCGCGGGCTAGAAATACGACGAGACAAGAAAGACGCGAAGGAAGAGCGACGTCGACAGATACGAGGATGGATATTTCTGCGGCGCAACAAAATGATTATTCTAGCAGCTGTGTACAGAGCAGGAGCTGGACAATTGTTCCTCGTTTCATCGTCCATGTACATACGTGTATACAAACCGATTGGATAAATCCATAATCTGTTGGATATTACTGCATTAACCACCGAGCTCGAGACCGTACGTGCTATCTGACCGAGAATTCCAATTTCGAAATTCGCGGCCCGCTCCTGAAACAAGATCAAAGTTAGACCGCGACTATTCTCGATCGTGCCGCAATTCGTGACCTCCCTCTTGCAATAAGCGTAATCGATTTATCATTCGTTTTACCAATACATTCGAATGAAACATGCCCTATAGAAATCCGAAGATAACCGCGATATTCCGTCTTTTTCTAATTAATTCTTTATCTATTCGGAACGCATATTTTTGTTATTGCACTGAGAAAAATCGTTTGATTGTACCAACAAGATGTATATGATTGAAGGCATTTTGGTTAAATCAAACAAAAATTTCTAGTTATCATAATAAGACTCGATTTTTTATAACTAGAACGCTTAATAGATTTTTACTATAAGGATTTGGTTAGTATTTTCTGGTTGAATCTATAAATTTCTTGTTACATTAATTTCTTCGCGAGCCACTCTTAACTTAACTCGTATTCAATATTTGCCATAAAATGTATATAAAGAATTAATATTAACATTAAATCCAAA